CCCTGCGAGGAGTGCCGCGGAGACCGCAGCGCCCCCTGGCGGGGATGCTGAGGACCGGCCAGCTCAGGACGCAGCCTGTGCAGCTAGCAAGGGGGTCTTGTGCGCACATGTCCTATGTGGCTTGTCTTTGCGTTTCAGAGAAAGAGCAAGTCGTGGTTTATAGCAAGTTCAGGCCCGTTGGATCTTGGGACATTCTCACGCTGACACACCTTGGTCCAGTGGTACGTGGGTGGGAAGGGCAGGGGCCTCTCCCAGCCAGAGCAATGCTAACAATGCCACTGTGGAGGTTTTTGGTGAAACCGGCTTGTGGTCCAGGTGAATCTGTTTCTCTTCCTCCAAACTTTTAATAGCACTTTCTAGTTCATATACTTCGTCTTACTAGCCTTCCAAACAGTCTGAGATTTTTAAAATTAATTTTATTGTTTCACGTGTGTAAGTGTTTTTGTGCGCGTCTGCGCACCACTGGGTGTGCCTTGGTGCCAGCGGTCAGAAGAGGGCATCGGATTTCCCGGAACCGGAATTAACAAATTGTCGTGAGCCACAGCGTGGATGCTAGGAATTGAACCCGGGTCCTCTGAAAGATCCGCCACTCAATGCTCTTAGCCCCTGAGCCACCTCCCTTGTCCCCCAGATCATCTATTATGTGATTGAAGAGTCAAGAGTGGTCACGGCACGAGGAGCTGCCCTCTGGGTCCACTCGGGGAGCTTTTCCGATACGCACGGGACACTGACCGGAGATGGCCATCGCCTGCCAGAGCTCCACAGCTACTGCAGCCAGAGAGTCTTCCAGAAGGATCCCCCTGGGGCAATGAGGCAGGAAATTTACGGCTTGGCCTGATTAATGGGCCGGCCAGTTAGGAGCTCTTTGCCAGGCTAGTCCCATAATTTAGCATCACCACGTGGGAGGAGAGACCTCTAACTTGTATCTTTCTGGGAGCCGGAGGCACATGGGATCATTGAGACATCTTGTGCCAAAAAGCCCCGTACTCCTGACTCCCCTTCCTCCCAGTCACGGAACAAGCTACCTGGACGAGTCTACTTGGGGAGAAAGTAAGAAGTCAACTCACTGGCTGTCACTGCCAGCTGACGAGTCCCTGGTTGTTCTGTGAGCTTGGCATGTGCCCACTCAGCTCTAAATGACCTCGTGGTGGAGACCTTCCCATCCCAGGGAACTAAAATTTCCCTCAGGAAAGCAGGTGCAGTTCGGGGGATAGCGGACAAGGTGCCAAGAAAGGCAGGGATGTTGGAGAAGCACGGTCTGGGCCTCAGTTTCCCCCTTTGTTCAGTGAAGAGTTTGGACAGGTTGTCCTCATGGTTTGAGAGTCTGTAATTTTTTTTTCAGTCATGACAATCACTCTTTTCCAGCATCTGGAGTTAATAATCTGTTTCCAACATTTGACCTCAAATTTGAACTATTTTTATGAGTTTGTGGGCCTCTTTCGTCTTCCTGAATCTGGGTAATGGGTGCCGCTGGCAGGGCCTCCCTCTTATCCTCCCCTCCCCGGCCTCCTCTCCTCCCTTTCTGATTCCCCTCCTCTCACTCTCTCTTTCAGCCTGGCCTTGAATTTGCTATGTAGCCGAGGATGAGCTCGAATGGATGGTCGGTCTTCCTGTCTCTGCCTCTGGAGTGCTGGGATTACTGGCGAGGGCCACCATGCCTTCCAGGATGCCAGGCAAGCATGCTACCGACTGAGCCTCGTCTCCAAGCGTGGAGCCCCTCCATTTCCTGGCCTGGCACCGATCCTCAGAGTCCCCCACCTGGTGTCATACTATGAGGGAGGGAGAGCGAAGGCTGATCCCGCTGTCTCTCAGGATACTACCATGTAGGAGGATTATTTTTACGTTACAGCTGAGCCACGGACCTGGTCCTTCTTGTTTGGTGTACCACGGGTTGATTTGTAACACAGCTTTTGAAAACTTCGTTCCTTAAAAATGAACCTGTCCCAGGGCCAGCTAGATGGTGACACGGGTAAAGGTACTTGCCGTAAACCCGAAGAGCCGAGTTCCGCCCCTGGGGATGCACACAGAGGGTTTCTCTGCTTTCTCTCTGCACACCCAAGAGCTCAACTTGGAGGAGAGAAGGGGAAGATTGTGCAAGGGCCCCCAGCGCTTACGGTGAGGAGCTGAGTGGTCTGCACGGACGCTTTGGTGGAGTGACGTCATCGGCAAGGAGCCTCCCCTGGTGATGAGTCTTGACAAGTCACCTGCTCTAGACTCCCCGAGTCCTTTCAAGACACCCTGCTCTGTAGACAGGGAGACACACTGGATGGCGAAATGGCCCATGCTGAGACTACTTGTATTGGCAATAGACAGCAATGGGGTGGGGGTGGGTGTCCTAATCCAGTCTGCTCGGTGTCCTCGTAGAAACGGCTTCTAGACATTCCAGGAAGAATGCATATGAGGAGAAGGCAGACATCAGGGAGGGGTCTCTAATCCAGGAGCTGAGCCTTCATAGCAACCTGGCTTGGGGAGGGTGGTCTCCTGCCTTTGGGGAACACAGCCCGGCTGATGATGTCAGAGTCAGACCTGAAGCCCCAGAACTGTTAGAGGAGACCGTTGTGTCACTTAAATCCCTCATGTTGGCACACCGGTGGCAGCAGCTCACAGGGCAGGGAGCCGGTGAGTGACAATACTGATACTCCTGCCGCAGAAGGCCAGCTCTCATTTGGTGGCCTTGTCCGTCAGTCCCACTCATTTCTGTGGTGGGAAGGACAGATTTCAGGTGGAGCTGGGGAGCCTCCACTCTCAGTACCATAACTGGCAGGCCGGCGGGAGTTTCTTCCCAGTGCCCTGGGCTCCCTCTGACACAGCCCAGCAGGCTCTAGCAAGGTGCTTCATGCACATTTCCTGGCCCATCCCCCCACAGAGCCACCTTGAGGCAGCATCATGGCCTGAGTCACGGCTCTGGGAGGCTGTAGGCCAACCAGCAGCAAGCCTCAGCCTTGAGCCCTGACCTTAACCCTGGGAGCTCATAAGTGGGACATAGTCCCAGAGGTCTGTGCCATTGTTTGTATGGCTTTGTGCAGGGGGTTCTTCAAAGGCATCTGTTGGGTCTTCATGTGCCGGGGGACAAGGGCCTCCCAGTAGGATGCAAACAAGTTATTTTCAGCCAGCACAGGTCGTGCTGGTAGCAGTAATAGTATTTTATTGCTGGCGTCCCGGAGAAACATCGGGTTGGGGGAGAATGGAGATGAGTTTAAAAATAGAAAGCTGTAATTAGCCAAGTATGGGTTTGTTCTAGAAGGCATGAATTATTACAGCAACCACACGCCCTAGGTTTTCCAGGGCAGGCTCTGTTAGCGGATTCTGATTCCTTTCGGGAAAAGGGGCTCTGGTGAGTGGCTAATGGGATTCAGCGTTACATTGGTCTGGGTTGTTACTTACACATCAATTCACAGATGTAAACAGACGCTGTGCCAGTCAGGACTCTGCCTTTTTGTTATGAAAAAAAATACATATATAGTTTCCCAGTCTTATGCTCTGAGCTGTGGGTCCTGTCCTGTGGTTGAGAACTACTTGTGAAGGGTTAGGGAGGTGTTTGTGAAGTGCAGGGCCCTGGAAGTCTGAGGTGCAGAGTCACATGAGCTTTTGGCTTAACGTGTTTTTTTTGTTTTTGTTTTTTGTAGGATATAAACCCAAGGAGCGGGGTTTCCAGTTTCTGCCACACTTGGTACAGAGAAACTTCCAGAATGCCTGTGGGCCTGGGCATGCGAACTGCTCTTTCTGCTCGCGTCAGGCATGCAAGTGTGTGCCAGGCGTATGCCCAAGGGAGAGCCTCAGAGCCTGGAGGACCAAAACAACGGAGCCCTCTGGACGGGACACGAGGGCGACCCTGCTGTAAACTGTCAACCCAAGGACAAGCCCGGGGCTGAGGAGCTCACTTTCTGTTTCCTGCACACGACATGAGGCTTGTCTCAGCTAGGAGGCACCATGACCACAGCAACTGTATGTATGTATGTATGTATGTATGTATGTATGTATGTATGTATGTATTATGTGTTCAGTATTCTGCCTGCATGTCTGCAGGCCAGACGAGGACACCAGATCTCATTACAGATGGTTGTGAGCCACCGTGTGGTTGCTGGGAATTGAACTCAGGACCTTTGGAAGAATAGTCAGTGCTCTTAACCTCTGAGCCGTCTCTCCAGCCCCGACCACAGCAACTCTTACAAAGGAAAACATTTAACAGGGGCTGGCTTACAGTTCAGGGGCTTAGTCCATTATCATCACGGCGGGGAGCATGGTGACCAGGCTGGCAGACACGGTGCTGGAGAAGGGGCTGAGAGTTCTTGCGTCTTGATCCACAGGCAGAAGAAGGAGACTGTCCCAGTGGGCCTAGCTTGAGCATATAAACCTCAAAGCCTGCCCTTGGTGACATACTCCTCCAATAAAGGCCACACCTACTCCAAAGAGGCCAGGCCTTCTAAGAGCGCCACTACCTATGGGTCAAGCATTCAGACACATGAGCCTGTGGAGACCATTCCCATTCAAACCGCCACAGAGGCCAAGAATCCAGGAGTCAGGACGGAAGACAGAGGACACCCATCCACACTTATAATTTTTTGGTTGGGGTCATGGCAACATGAGGAACTGTGTTATGGGGTGGCAGCATTAGGAAGGTTAAAAACCACTGACCTAGGAAATTAGAAACCGTTATTAAGGGTTTTTCATACAATATATTTTGATTGTATTCTTCTCTCTCAACATCTTCTCTCTTCCAACTTCTACCAGATCGTCCCCATGTTCTTGCCCAACCAACTCTGTTTCTTTTCTCTCCCTCAGAAACAAAACACTTAAGCCGGGCGTTGGTGGCGCACGCCTTTAATCCCAGCACTCGGGAGGCAGAGGCAGGCGGATCTCTGTGAGTTCGAGGCCAGCCTGGTCTACAAGAGCTAGTTCCAGGACAGCCTCCAAAGCCACAGAGAAACCCTGTCTCGAAAAACCAAAAAAAGAAAAAAAAAGAAACAAAACACTTAAATAAAACAACAGAAGACAAAAATCAAAGCAAAAATCTTTAAAAAATCAATAAGGCAAAAAAATACTAAACCAAACAAAAAGCATGGAAAGTCTGTTTTGTGTTCACCAACTATTCCGAGGTATGAGGCCTGCCCTGGAGTGTGACACTCCATTGGAGAAAACTAGTATGTTTCCCAGAAGCTATCAATTGCAAATAGCTTCTTGGTAAGGGGTGGGAACTCTGTTCACTTCCTCCTCTCGGTGCTGGGACCCTGTCCGGGCATGAGCTTATGCAGGTCTCGTGCACGCTGCCAGACTCCGTGAGTCCACACGTGCGTGCGTCCTGCTGTGCCTGGAAGACGCCGTTTCCACCTCTCGCTCTTATGGTCTCTTCTCCTGGTGTGACAGCTGTGTGATCTAGGGACTTTTGATAGGCATGGTGGAAATAAGAGTTAAAACAGTGCCTACAAAGAAGGTTGACCCCTCGCCTCCCAAGCATTCCCTTTACTTCTCCTCCTTAGCCTTCGGAGGGTTTGCACCTTTTGGTCCTGTGTCCTTTCTGCTTCCGGGAGGCCACATCTCCAAACACTAATTTCTGAGGGTATTAGCGTGTGTTCTGTGGTCCACCAGCACCCACAGCGGCAGGAGCCTGCTAACTACCCAAGTCCAGCACTTCCTCTGATGTACCATCTGGTTTCAGATCCCTGGGTGGAGGAATGCAAGGAATCTGCATTTGCTAACATACATACCTCCTTGATTTTTTTATTTTTATTTTTATTGCAACATCTTTGCTGGTGGAGCTGAGCTCCGAGCCTCTCCCCTCTGCTGTCCCCTAAATGGGGACTATTATTTTCAGAATTCTGAGGCAATGCGTCCGAATTCCTTTGGTCTGAGCGGTGTGTCTTTATAAGGCTAGAGCTCTGCCAAAAGATAACCGCAGGTGGACTCTGGGGGCGCGTGCTGTTTCCAAAGATAGCAGCGCCTAACCCTGCTTGCTGATGACTCCGAGGGTCTGAATGTGCTCGCGGCTGCATGGCCTTATATAGAGAGGGGCCAGGCCCTCAGCAGCCGACGCCATGTGTTCCGTGGCTATCTTTGGAGAGTGACAGGTGCTCGTGACAAGTGAAGTTGGACAGCTGAGCTGTGACCCTCGAGAAAGGTAGCAAAGCATCTCGAGCGGATGCCTCCCCTGTGGAGTGCACTGTGAGAGGGAAAAGGAGACCCGCAGTCGTTCTGGGTCCTGGGGAGGGTGGACCAGTGATGGTGTGGTGATAGAGATAGGTCGGGTGGGTCGCCTTGAACAACTGCTCCATCTTCTCAAAGTTGGTGTCCACCCATATATATATATATTTTTTTTTTTCAGACAGGGTTTCTCTGTATTGTTTTGGAGACTGTCCTGGAACTCTCTCTGTAGACTAGGCTGGCCTCAAACTCACAGAGATCCACCTGCCTCTGTCTCCCGAGTGCTGGGATTAAAGGCGTGCGCCACCAACGCCCGGCTCCTCCCCTTTATTTTGTTCAGGGCACCCTGCTCTCTGTCGTAAACGTTTGAGTTTGTTACGGTTTGGATCCCGAGAGTCCGCCGAAGGCTCACACGTTAGAGGCATCAGTGCCAGCCTGGGGCACCTGACAAGAGCTAGGGCACTGTCAGGAGTTGGGGCTGTATGTGACTCTTCTGGAACCCCCTCTCGGGAGTCACGCTCTGTGCCTCTGATAGGGCCCTCTGTGTTTTGGGGAACTCTGCTGGGTTTCAGCAGAGAGCACTGGGGGGCTGGGGGAGAGGAGAAAGAGGGGTAAAGACAGGGAGAGGGCAGAGAAGGCATCATCCCACCTGACTTGTTGGCTGCCTGACTCCGGGAGAGGGTCCCCGGGTAGGCTTGTGAGGGACCATCCCGATTGTGCTAACTGGCGTGGGCAGACTCATCTCAACTGTGGGTCAGACCGTTCCCTCGGCAGAGGAGGACCGTGGACTGTACGGAGGGGGGGAGGGAGTTGAGCAATGCCTTCTCTACCCTTCTCTGTCCTGACTGGAGGCTGTGTGGCCAGCTGCCTCAAGCTCTGGACATGCCCACTGCCCTGGCTCGTCGGGCGCCCCTTGAACTGAACTGTGGGCCAGAATTAATCCTTTCCCTCTCGAGCTGTTTGTTTCAGCAATAACAGGAAAGGTAACTAAGACGGACACCCAGCCGGTTCCGTTTCCTCGCTTTGTGGCTAGTGCCTCGATAATCACGGTTGTGCAAGTGTCTCCCAGGCAGGACTCCATGCCCGGGAGTGACAGCTGGGTCGTGTGGTGCTTCTATTTTTAGGTTCTGGAGGAACCCCCACACTGATTTCCATAGGGCCTGGGCCAGTTTATACTTCACTAACTGTGCATAGGGCCCCTCTTTCTCCACGACTTAAACAGCATTTGCTGTCTTCTTCTTTTCTTCTTCTTCTTGATTTTAGCCATTCTGACTGGAGTGAGATTAAAAACCTCAAAATAGTTTTGGTTTGCATTTCCCTGACAGCTGAGGATGTTGAACACTTGGGAATAATCATTGACACACTCTCTTTCTCTCTCTCTCTTATTGAGAACTCTCTGTTCAGTTCATTAACTTATTTTACTACTGGAAGGTTTGTTGGTGTTTAAGATTTGAAGTCCTTTATTTTTAATCACATGTCTGAGGTATAGCTGGCAATGATTTTTCTCCTACTCTGCGGTTGACTCTTCGTACTTTGCTGTGAGGGAGAGAATGAATAAATTCAGGTCATGTAAGTGGGAAGGGACTAAGAAAGGGCTTTAAGTGGTGCGCGGGAGAGGGTGAATTCTAGACTTCACATGACAGGAAACCAGAGGGGATACCGGGAGAAGGATGGGCAGGGAATGGGGGAAGCCAGGAAGAGAGTCGAGAGAAGCAAAGCCTGTATAGAAATGCTGAACCCCGTTACTTCTAACGTGTGTTGGAGTCTCGTGTCAACCTGACAAAGCTAACGTCATCTGAGAGGATGACCTGAACTGAGAAATTACCCCCCCCATAACATCCAGCTGCAGTCATTTTCTTAATTAGTGATTGATGGGGGAGGGCCCAGTTAGTTCCCACCTCTGGACTTAGTGGTCCTGGGTTCTATAACACGCGATAAGGATCCTATGAGAAAGGCCCACATGCTGAAGGTTTGGGCTTCGGTGCCGTGTTCAGAGGTGGGGCTTCCAGAAGGGAGGGAATAACGAGGGCTTAGAGGCATCAGGAGATTAGTCACAACTTAGGGGACTCTTGCAGGCACCGGCTCACTGGGGCATGCTGGGGCGTGCCCTGGAAGGGTGCCTTGTGTCCATAGCTTCCCCGCTGCTTCTTCAGAATGAGAGTGTTCAGTTTGGCTCTGTCCCGTCCTTCAATGTGATAGTGTGCCTAGCCACAGGCCCCAAAACGATGGAGTTGGCTGATTGTGGACAGAAGCCTGAGAGTGTGGGACAAAACAAACCATCTGCCCTTTAGTTGACTGTTTATGTGTGTTTGGTCTCAGGGACACAAAACTAACACAGTCTTTTCACTTCATACAGAAGCCGTGGACCGTGGCTGCACAAATCACGATACACAGGATTAGGATGAAGTAGGCCAATTTTATTGGGGAGAAATCACTTACATGAGAAACCGATAACACAGGATCCGCACTCCAAGCATCCGAGCTCAGCTGCCCTCCGAGAATTGACTGACCGGAACCCAGAGAGAGCAAACCTAAATCCCACACGCTCAGGTACTCACCTGTGACCACACCCAAAGGGGCGTGGTCCGTGCCACAGGTACCTAGTAAGGGCCCGAGAGAACATAAGGTGTGTTTAGCAGGGTTCTGTCAACCACGCAGCTGTTGTTAAGAAAGCGGCCACACAAACTGTAACTCATTCACTCCTACTCTTGGCTTATTGCTCTCATTTCCAAAAGCATCCCTTGAGAAGCAACACTATTAATAATATGGCACTAGTAATACCATATTGCTAATAATTGGTTGGGCATCAAGTGAAATCAAAATGAAACCAAAACCTCAGATTTGGGCAAAGTGGAAGCCCTACACGGTCTCTCTGCGAATTTCAAAGTACACTCAGTCACCGCTTGGTAGCTGTGAGTTCCACAGCCTTGGATTCAACTATGCTCAAATCAAAGATATTTCTGTGTGTTTTTTTTTTTTTTTTTTAGTTTGTCTGTGGTGCCCACTGAGGCCATAACAGGTCATTGGAACCTCTGGGACCGGAGCCACAGTTAGTTGTGAGCCGCCACGTGGCTGCTGGGAGTCAAACCTGCATCCTTCGCTCTTAACTGCTGAGCCGTCTCTCCAGTTCCAACATTTGCGGGCTCGGGGTGTAACTCTGTGGCGGATAGCTGACACTGCATGCATAAGCCATTGGGGTTTGCTTCCTGGAGTTGCTAGCACCCCAACCAATAGAAGTTGGATTTGTACTGGGTACTGGCTTTTGTTGTCATTATTCCCTACACACCACGGGATGGTAATTTCTACACAGGGTCATCGCATTCCTGTAAGGGATCCCGGGACTGAAGTAGACAGGAGGATGTGTAGGTTAGACGTAAACACTGCACCACTTTGTGTAGGGGACTTGAACATCATCTCAATTTTGGCACCCCGCCGTTGGGAACCCTACTTTCCCAGGGACCAAAGAATGTCTGCACGTAGAATATTAAAACCATCACAGGGATGCACCCTGCAGGGCGGCCTCTTCTGTGTTTTCAGCATGGGCTCTGGCCAGTGCTCGGAAGCCCCAGGCTGCTCCGTGGCTTGACTGGTCGTCATCACCAGGGACCAGAGAGAAGGCTCAGAGTCCATTTTTTGATCAGTAATCGGGCTCTGTAGCCTCATTCCTGGAATTACGGGCGGCTGATTGTGAGGGTGAGTCGGTGCCATGTCTCCTGTAAGTCTGTTTATATCTAATTAGCTACTGGTTCTCCTTAGACAGGTGAATCTCGTTTTCTATCGCTGGGAAGTTAACCCCACCACGGCAGAACTTTCTGTGGACAGCAAGTGCTTCTGGGCTGCATCTTCCCTCCTCCAAATTCAGCTGTCAATGCAGGGCCGGGTAGCAGCATCCGGGCCAGGTCTGTGCAAGAAGGGTGTGTGTGTGTGTGTGTGTGTGTGTGTGTGTGTGTGTGTGTGTGTGTGTGTGTGTGTGGTGTCCGTTCACTGCTGTGTGTGTGTGTGTGTGTGTGTGTGTGTGTGTGTGTGTGTGTGTGGTGTCCGTTCACTGCTGCCACCTCCTGGACGGGGACCGAACACGCAGTCCATCCCTAACAAGAACTGAAGAGAGCGCAAGGCTGATCTCTTCCCCTCCGACCTCAAGGTCACTTACGATCAGGGAGGGGCGTGCAGGTGAGCGGTGCCTCCTGGCTGAGATGAAAGGTCGAGGTGTGAGCAGGGCAAGCTTCTCAGCCTTCCGGGTCCCGAAGCCTCACCCTCCTAGAGGTGTGGTTGCAAAGCGGCGAGACACCCACGGGCCAGCCAGGGGCAGGCAGCCCCAAACCCCAGAGCCCTTCCAGGTCCGGTTCAGGGGGTGGGGACGCACGACAGCCGTGCGCAGCTCCCATTGGCCGTGCGCGCTGATTGGCAGTGTGGGTGTCGGAGCAGCCGGACTCACAGAGCAGAGCGGGCGTCGGTCCCCTCCCCGGGCTATGGTGGCACAGCCAGACCTCCCTGCACAAGTCCCAAACGCCTTGTCCCTTTGCGGACTGGAGTGGCCAGTGACGCCGGGGGTGGATCTGCGCTGAAAGTCCCGCGGTTTGCCCCAGCAGGGTACCGCTCTGCATCCCGGGAGAAGGTGGCGGCTGATGCTGACCCACTCCCCAGCCCTCCCTGTGCGTGCATGTGCGTGCGTGATCACGTGTGCATCTTGACGTCACAGCCCCCCTTCCAAAAACTGGGGATTCCTACCGGCCTCCTCCAGCTTGTGAGTCAAAGGGGAGGAAGCAGCGAAGGCTTCGCTTGGGAAAAGCTCCCTGTCCAGACCCCGGAAGGAGGGAGGAGGAGGCGGAGGAGGGTGTGGCTCACCAGCAGAGTGTGGCCGCCTCGTCCGGGTCCTCCGCTCCTAGAGGTGACTCTCCGAGGTCACACAGCTTGGGGTCCAGACCTTGTGATGGCCGCAGCCGTGCTGTGCCCCAGCCGAGCCCTACGGTTTACCCCAGGCAGGTGGATAGTGCTTGAGGTCTTTGCAGTTGGGACCCACCCGAGCGGGCCTTCTAGGCAAAATGGATTGGGTAGATAAGAGGGGGGCGCGGCATTGCCCCAGGACAAGCAAGAGCAAGGCTTGTTTCACATCCGTCCTTTTACACCTCTGGGCTTCGCCTGCTGTCCCGTGGGTACCCCGAGCTCAGCGTCTCCCAGGCTGCCTGTCCCAGCGTGAACCGCTGTGTCTATTCGCTCCCCCACCCGCCCCCAGCCTTCACCCCCATTTCGCTGGGATTCCAGCTTCGGAGCTTCGGCACTCCTCTCTGTGCAGTTGCTGGCTGAAGTCCATCCGTCTTCCCCTTGGGGACCTTTTTATTGTCCGTCCTTTCCAGCCTCGTGGCAGCATGGCCCTCGGGTCTCTGCAGCAACCGTAAAACGCCTTTCTCCTTCTCTGCCCACCAGTGAGCTCCACCCCTGACCTTTCTGGGGTACCGGCCAATCATCAAACCCGCCCGTTCCTTTTACTGATGTTATTTCCATCCCTGTCTCTTAAGTTTACCCACTTCCTTCTGTCCACGAGGCAGGCGCCTCTCGTGAGTAATTTTCTTATCCTAATAACTCCCAATCCCAAGTCAAAATCCAGGTTGCAACCTAGGCTTTCAGCTTGCTCGCTCATGTGTGTGTGTGTGTGTGTGTGTGTGTGTGTGTGTATGTATGTGTGTATATGTGCGTGCATGTTCGTGTGTGTGTATGTGTGTGCATATGTGCGTGCATGTTTGTGTGTATGTGTGTGTATGTGTGTGTGTATGTATGTGTGTGTATGTATGTGTGTGTGTTTTTGGATCTGAACTCAGGCTGTCAGTGAGTGCTTTACCCCGTCCACTGTGTCCTGGCCCAGAAATGGAGTCTTTTTTGGTAATTAACAAGTTTCCTTTATTTTACATACTGACCACAGTTTACCCCCTTCTCTCCTGAGTCCCTCCTCCCAAGTCCCGTCTACCCCCCTCCCCATCCACCCCTCCTCGTCTCCATCCAGCAAGGGCAGTCCTCCTGTGAGCTTGAACATAGCATGTCATATCAGGTTGATGTAGGATCAAGCTCCCCCCCCCCATAAAGGCTGGTCGGGGTAATCCAGCATGGGGACAGGTCCCCAAAAGCCAGCTAAGCACAGGTCCTGGTGCTTAGGCCAATCCAACAGGAAGCAGTTTGGCCTTACTTCTTCTCCCACGCTTTGGGCCCTCACTCTGGTGTCCTCTTCAGTCAGTGTGTAGGGCGGCAGCAGGCCCTCAGGACTGTGGCTGACAGAGTGCCCTAGGCAGGGTTTCTACGGCTGGGATGAAACTCCATGGCCAAAGAGCAAGTTGGGGAGGAAAGGGTTTATTTGACTTACACCTTTGTTCATCATCAAAGGAAGTCAGGACAGGAATTCATACAGGGCAGGAACTGGGAGGCAGGAGCTCATGAGAGGCCATGGACGGGAGCTGCTTACTGGCTGCTCCCCATGGCTTGCTCAGCCTGCTTTCTTATAGAACCCAGGACCACCAGCCCAGGGATGCCACCGCCCACCATGGGCTGGGCCCTCCCCATTGATCACTAATTGAGAAAACGTCTTGCAGCTGGATCTCATGGAGGCATTCCCTCAGTTGAGGTCTCTTTCTCTCAAGATGACTCTAGCTTGTGTCAAGTTGACATAAACCTATCCAGCACACAGAGCCTGAGCTTGGGTCACCAAACCCCAGGTTTGACAGTGCTCTGAGAGTCGAGACTGGCATGCTCACCGTGTCTCCTTTTTAGATCTGTTTCCTTCCGGATGGGACTCCCATTCTTTCTTCAGTCCACCCGATGGCCGTATCCAATCTCAGCTCACGCTGACTTTGTGTCTTTGCTGGCTTCAGTGCCTAGCCTGGTGTATATGCAGCTGAGACTCCATCCCTGCATGCCATCGCCCTGTTCACCGCAGCCAGGGACCTCACCCCTACATGCACACCCACTCTCTCTGTCCTTGCAGGTAGCTTCACTTCCTGGGTTGTATTTGGCTGGGTGAGCATGCACTGCAGAGTCTAGATGTTCCTGGGATGTCCACTGGGCCTGGCAGAGCGCCTTTGCACAGCAGTGGCTCATGGAAACACACTGTGGCTCATGTGAGCCAAATTGTGGAAACGAAGCTCTTAGACGCCCCGGAGGCCCTGTTTGCTTTAAGACAATCTGAATTCAACCTTGTGGATTTGCTGTTTTCTTCTGATTTAGTCAACTCCTAATGTGGATGTCTTCTGGGGGACCATTCCATGTCTCGGCGCCTGTTTTCCCTCGAAATCAGCATGAGTTCTAAACCACTATGGGATGCCCGTATTTCAGACTTTTACAATTTTTTTTTCTGGTGCAATTTAAACTTGAGAACTTCTGATTGTAATCGTAGGACAACGTGGTTGGGAATTTTATTCCCTAAGATCCCAGGGTGAGAGAAAGCAGCCAAGACAGGAAACAGTTTCATTTTCCAGTGGGTTGCTAATGGCAGTGAGAACCCCCAGCCAGGAAGAAGGATGCAAGCTGATTAACTCTTGTGTGTGTGTGTGTGTGTGTGTGTGTGTGTGTATACACGTGCATATGTGTGTATACATGCATGTGGGTGTGCCCATGCATGTGTGTGTGCACGAGTATGTGAGTATGCATGTGTGTGTGCACGAGTATGTGAGTATGCATGTGTGTGCATGTGTGAGTGTATATGTGTGTGCCCATGCATATGTGTGAGTGTGCATGTTTGTGTGTATACGTATATACGTGTGTGTGTGTTCCGCCATCTAGTTTCCAAATAATCACACAGAGACTTATTATTAATTATAAATGCTCAACCAATAGCTCAGACGTGTTACTACCTAACTATTACATTTTAAATTAGCCCATATTTCTAATCTAGGTACCTTTTCTCCGTAGGGCAAGTTCATCTCCTTCTCTCTGCCTCCTCAAGATTCTGAGACTCTTTCTCTTCTTCCTCGTGCTCTCTTTTTGTCTTCAAGTCCCGTCTGACCTCTACCTGTCCAGCTCTTGGTTGTCAGCTTCTTACTAACCCATCCACAGAGACAAATATTCACACAGTGTGAATAGTCCACACGTGTGTGCCTTTGGGATGTATTAGATTCTTCGTAAGGAACAAGGCTGTCTATTCAAACATTCCTGAAGAAAAATTCTACAGGATTGCATTTCTACATAACTGTGTTCTGTGTTATCCAAGGGCTTTTTTTTTGAGCTCTTAAATTGTATTTATGTATTTTTGCATCAAGATTCAGAG